CGCCTTGTCTTACCTTCATGTGTTTAACCTACCGGTTCCACAGATTGTCTGCACACAGCTGATGAAAAGACTCGAAATATCCGAATTCAGATGATTCTGCTGAAATGTTTTTCCTTCTTGCTACATATATATATATATATATATATATATATATATTTCAACAGTCTATGAATAGACATAGAGCCATCAGAAACCATGGAACACAGAACTACACAAATTGTAAAAGAAAACACAATACAAAACATTAAAGTTCATGGTTTCGTCAGTGGGCGAGATACTACCCGGTTACCCAAGCCGAAGTAGGGTGTTGACTTAGGAGACACCACCCCAAACCTTTGGCTGATTAGCCTGCCCGCAAGGCAGCGGAACGAATTCAGGAAATCGCGCCCCTTGGGAGCCGGTGACTGATTGCTCAGTTCATACGCCTTTCGTTTGTTCCTTGGCCAAACAGGGGCCCAATGCTCCCCAGAATTACAGCATAAATTTGCTGGAATACAATGCTTCGCCAGGATGAAGCAAGGGGTAGCGACTTTATTTAGTGGTGAGTCACGTCCGCTACGTCACAGTGTTGTTAAACGGACATATGTGGCTTTATATAGGGAGAACGCTTGCCAGACGAAAACCCACAACGTCCTAGAACACTGTCGCCGAACCATTTGCTTGAACGGAAAAATCCCGAAACACCCAGCTGGCACCACGAAGAGGTTGTTCGGCAAGCCATTATGAACAGTCCTATCGATTTTAACGAAGCATAACCGTTTATCGACTGTCGCTTCATCTCCCCAGTGATCTAATATTGATATTGTGCCGTGTTGACGCATCGAGTGGTATTTTCAGTGCTTTGTCTTGTGTTCCTTACGCAGCATCGTCATAGCGTTCACCAATTGGCTGCATTGATTGAATGTCCTATTTTATAAGTAGACAATTCACTCCCTCAAAAGCGAACAACGCAAAAGCACACACTGCCGAGCAGAGGTTGCAACTACTTGAATACGCCGCTCTCATGTGCTCTCGCCGTTGGAATGTGTTGGTTTGTTTGCCTTTTGTTCAAGTCACACCAACGGAGCTATGCGTGAATGCCGGCATTTGAAAGAAGGATGATCCGAAGGTCTATATGCTGTCGGAAACTTGAGGTTTATTTCATTCTAAGTATGACTTACATTCAGTGATCTAGTGAACTGTGTGTGTGTATGTGGTTTTATTGCAACTCAGTGTTCGTAATTAGGCGGCGAGCTAAATTCCAACCAATACTCGGAAAATCTCAAATGCAATTTAATCGTGCTATGGAGGACACTATTAGCGTGTTTTCTTGAGAATCTTACTTTTGTGGTTCAGGTGTGGGGTGTTGAAAGCAGAGGATTTCTTGCCTGAAATATATTTATGTATTCGTGCGTCATTACAACATGTTCTATCTAGAATATCAATAAGAGAGAGTTGAACATGGTCCTACTGACTATACTATCCTGAACTTCACTTTACAACCTCCAGTTCACGGCTCATTCACCGCGTAAGTGTTGCTTCTTCCACAAGTATCCTCTGCATATTGCTCTAGGTGTAAGCATCTGAAGTACGTGTGTCGCACATTGTGTTGACACGTAGCTTGCCATATGCCGCTATGAAACTGCGTCGTCTTTGAGTCCCCCTGTCAGTCACAATAAACCGCACTGTTTCTACTCGATTGGCGAGTGGTAGCAGTATCAGTGCGGCTTCAGGTGCCTGGTTCGCAGTGCTTCGTAAGCGACTTCCAGATCCAAGTGCTTACTGATCAACTTCTGCTTTGAATGCCAGGCTTCGATGAACTCACACACTTGCCGGTAATTGGTCCTTTCGAAGGTGCTGACGTGCTGCAGGTCCAATTGGTGGTTCTCGGCATCCATATGCACAGACAACAGGAAGTTACGACCATGACGACGGGTGGCTAGGCTGTGTCCGTTGTAGCCTTGGGCCAAGCTTTCTTCCATTCTGACGCAGGTAGTATTTGTCACAGTGCCGGCAGCATCTCTTATAGATCAGATCAGTTAGTTCCCACTTGCCAAGTTTATCTTTCACTTTGAAGAGTTTGCTACGAATTGTCCCAGTTGGTTGGTGTGCAACTTAGGCTCCAAAAGATGGTGAAAGTCCCGCTGCCCATTTCAGAGATTCCGTTGCTATAACGCAACGTAGCTGTTTTTTCAACCGCTGCATTTATCGAATTCTGTTGTGCTGCCCGTGACGCCGCACTGATGATGTTACCTAAGCTAGCAACGAAACGTCTGCGAAGCAATCACTTAGCTCGGACAGCAACTCAAACTACACAACGAGATCCTGAGCTACGGATATTCTCATCTGTTGGGATTCATATAGTCCGTTTGTGTAGCCTCGATCCTTCTGTGAACGGTTAAGCTCGATTTCATTCGCCACAGCTGCGGTTCCCTATGTCGGATTTCAGTGTGTGTGGTTCACACACATCGCATTCGGAATTATTCATAGTTCCGAAGCCCACAATTGACCTAATGTTCTCCCTCCAATTGTGACGTTAGGGTCAGGCGGCGTTCCTCTTTGAACTTGACCCTGCGGTACGTGACTCTGCTATCTCCGAGTTGTGCTTAACAAGCTATTCGAATGAAACATTTCCTATGTACAGCACTATCTCGTTCTGGTGAGAATCTGCGCCGTTCACGGTACCACCTTCGAGTGAGAGAATGGGCCTGCTCCATGCTGGTGTTGGTTAGCAAACTCGTTTCCGACCAGATGTTGGCAACATCCTATTTTGTACTCAGTTGTATGTTTGTGTGGTCATAACACATACATACGCATAGTGACAAGTAAAGTCGTACCAATTTTTACCAATTTGTTCCCTGTGCCTGCAGCATTCCTTGACCGGATGTCTCCAGGTTCAAACAGCTCGTACCGATAGAACTTGGTTGTGTCTGTCGGCTGACCGCGGTAATACTAAACTGCCAGACAGCATTGAATGTCAATATCTTTAAGGAATACATTATTGAGTTTTTTGAACATTCACCGTGTCGTTGGATGGTCTCACATCATCTCAATTTCGAGGGGCTATTCACGTCGAATTTACCCTCGTTTACTTGGGTGGTTAGGTGCGTGTATCGGAAGCGATCTATTTCAACTACGTTGTTAGGGCCAGTGACAGCCGAACGATGGCGTATCCTGACGTTGTATGACATCACTAGCGTCCGTCTTACTTTCCCTCACGAGTAGCCATCTCAGTGGAAATTTCTGCGGGTTGACATCTTCGATTCCCATCGAGGTGAAGTGTGATCGTCTTTTTTAGTTGAGTCAACACAAGGGTCTACTCACTGGCTTTACGATTACAATGTCGCTACTCCATACCAAAACCTAACTCATTATGCAAGCCATTTCGCATCATGTGACCCTATCGATCTACTAAATGCGTCTTTTGTTGACACACATCCTGTGACCTTATTGAACAGTCCAAGATGTTTCACATTTCTTTGTGACGTTCACACTTACTTGTGTTAACGATCCACTTGGCTCTAAGACCATCTCTTCATGGCCAACAGCCCGATGACAATCATGATACCATCACCCTTATCTCCAACCGGTTGCGGCTGGGCTTGCCCATGTCACCCGAGGACCCAGACTCCTAGGACTGATCTGCTTCCTCACGAGTTGAATGTTCTCCTAGTTTCCACTTTTGTACCTTGTGCCCCTGTACCTTTTTGATTTGGTTCTGCAACGTACCGCATAATCCTATCCCATCCTACCCTTTCGCTCCTCCTCATCCTCCGCCTTTGCCTTCTGAGTGCTCAACTGCGCTTTGCATCTCCAACTTGTCGGTATTGGAACAATAAATGTATCACGGATGGAAAAATACAACAGACGTTTAACATATAATTAAGTGAGGTTCTTCGCAGCCTGCTTCCAAATCAGATAGTCATCCACATACCCGGCAAAGCACTAGACTGCAGTTTCAGCCTGTTGGGCATCGTCAGTAGTGCGCATCCATCGGATCAGTCAGGATTCGAACCCATGACAACCAGCGGCTTGAACCGCCAGTCAGCAGCTTATGCCACTGGGCCACGGGGGACAGCTTCGGACCGTCATGATTCACAAGCTAACTACTCATGAGTACATCGAAATATATCCGCCCTGACAGTTTCTAAATGCTATGTCGTACATAGCTACTGTTAGTTTACATCGTGTCTTTCGGGGCCAACCCTGTCCTCTGCAACCTTCGTAACTTGCATGGCAGTGGAGGATAAGACGCGCTATATCACAGTTAGCTTGTAAATCACGACGGTCCGAAGCTGTCCCCCGTGGCCCAGTGGCATAAGCTGCTGACTGGCGGTTCAAGCCGCTGGTTGTCATGGGTTCGAATCCTGATGGATCCGATGGATGCGCACTACTGACGATGCCCAACAGGCTGAAACTGCAGTCTAGTGCTTTTCCGGGCATGTGGACGACTATCTGATTTGGAAACTGGCTGCGAAGAACCTCATTTAATTACATCAAAAATCCCCTACTCATGAGACGCTTAACAGTCCTCTGTAGGTAAAGAATGAGATCAAAATGGACGTATAAAAAAGACGTAGCGGTGAACTTACGGCAAATTTCTCGTGGGTTAAATCATATAGTGTAGGTGGTGCAATGTATTATCAAGTGAAGTTTCGGACTCGAGCAACGTAGGACCGGAGATGACAGAATGCGGAAGAGTAAGTTTCACGGCTGGGATCTACACGAACGGAGAAAACGTCCTGGCGGCATTCCGACTGACTGAACCTAGTAAACCAGTTATCAACATGCTGGATGACCATCTCGTCTTCTCAAGAGCAATGTACATTCAATCCACCCCCAGGTTACCGGGCGGATGACAGAGCGTACTTGTGAGATGCGTCCCATTCATCGAAATCGCGCGAATTTCCACACTATTTCCTTATTCTGTGTACATGGGTTACGGTTTGTCTCTTGGATTCGAGTAGGTAAACCCTTTCACTTCGCTCCACTTACACATCCTCTCCATCTTTCTCTCATAGCTTTGTTCTGCACACCTATAAATCCCCCGTCTGGCTACGGTGAGGTGAATTACCGATTCCGACCGCTTCCTCATCCAGCGCAAACAATCGCGTATGCGGAAATCTTGTGCCCCGCAAACCGCTGGCTGGAACCCCAAAGAACGATGACCACAGATGATTCAAGACCCTGGTGGCTTGAACGTCAGCGACATACAGTGCGCTTTTGCGATCACCTTTCTCGCACTTGGTCCCCAGACGGGATTCCAGAAGCATGTCTGACAGGTATAATGGCTTTCGTTTCTCATTCATGAGATTGATTGATCTCAGCATCGGTCCATGCTATTTCTGCTCCTCTATTGTAGAAACCGAGTTGGATGCTTTTGTTGCGAAGATTCAGTCCGGATTCCCGTCTACTTCTGTTGATGAATTGGTGCTGCCTCCGCCTCATCCTGAGGATGACTCTGCATCAGATAGACAGTTGTCGCCTTTATCGGAGAGCCAGACGCGGTTGGATCCACCCGGTATAAACAAGACTGCTCATTCAGATAATCACGGGACTCCGTCTCAAGTTTTGCCGCCTATTGTTCCAGCAGAACATGAATCAACACACCAAGAGCAAGGTTTACCGTCTGGCACTTCAAGTAGGTTGTCTGTGCGTCGAATTCCAATTCTTACTACTGATTTGCAGCCGTTTTTTTAAATTTCTATTGCTTACGAAAACCATGAGTAATCAGCTAAGATATGGGTTCGCCCAGATTTTGTAGCCTGCGTGCAATGACAGGCGAACTCGAATTGTGGGCCTTTCATTCACTGCTGATACATGCGCTCTGTTTGCTTAACCTCTACACCACGATGACGGGTAGCCGAACGAGTCATTGGAACCGCCATAAAGCGGAGGTTGTTGCAAACAGTTGTCCTTCTTCGGATACACCGCATCTCTTGATTACCTTTTCAAATTTGCAAATGACCATACGTAACCAACCGTTTAAGTGTCCAATTCTTCACGATTCCACTCCCTAAACTAGGAAGACGCAGCTGGTAATCGAATTGCCACATGTTCTAAACCCGCTTACCACCTTCTCTATCCCTATATCTCTATTCCGACGTTTATGGCACATCATAATCCCAGAACTCTACGGTGTCTACTCAGGAAAGGTGTACCTGAGAAATATGTAAATTATGTGAGGTCCATCATAAGTACATCAAATATGTAAGTAATATCCGAGCATTATAAGCGCATAGCTCGGGCAGAGGGAGGGCTGACGGCAAGCTGTCGTCGCCTTTTAATATCTCCAGCGGGTATGAGACAAAGATGCCCGCTGTCACCTTTCCTCCTCAATTTCTCTATTGATGAAGTCATGAAAATCGCGTTTACAGGACACGACTTTGAAGGTGTGGATCTGCTCTCAGTAGAACGACTTCTTGATTTAGAGTATGCTGATGATATTGCCCACATCTGTGACAGCTCGCAGACGTGTCAAGCGGCACTGGACAGATTAGCACTGGCTGTCCATCACTTCGGGCTTTGCTTCGCACCATCGAAATGCAAAGCGTTCCTCCAAGATTGGCAGGGATCGCCTCCTACACTGACCTTTGGTGGGGATCAGCTAGAAGTCGTTCAAAAATTCAACTACCTTGGAAGATGTATCATCACCCTTGGGACTGAAGATAAAATCACGAACCGTATAGCAAAAGCTCTGGGCGCTTTTGCTAACCTTCGCCACTTATGGCGCCGGCGCAACATCACTCTTGCCCTGAAGGGTAGAGTGTACAATGCAGCGGTACGTTCGACCTTACTGTACGGTTGTGAAACCTGGCCCCTTAGATCAGCGGACCTGAAGAGGCTAGTTATGTTCGACCACCGGTGCCTTCGCAGTTTGGCTCACATCTGGTGGGAACACCGAGTGAGTAACGAGCGTGTTCGACGCCTAGTTTACGGCACGCGAAAAGGAAATGAACCGTTTTGGAAAACTGGTAGCACGGTTGATAATTCAGTTGCTCATTTGTTCGCCGAGCTGAGAAATTGGTATGCAAACGTTTCACCGTCATGCGAGACGAGATCATCAGTGCGTCGCGATGTGGAGTGTAACCTCGCTGATTGAATTGTCGACCCGTGATCGGCGTGCAGGAAATGAGCCGCTCAGTACCGTTATTTCACGCACCAGGCTCCGATAACTCGGCCACGTGTTACGCATGCCAGCCCACCGACTTCCGCGACGTGCGTTGTTTGCGTGCCGGGGGTGTGGATGGAAGAAGAGGAGGGGTGGCCAAGCGATGACTTGGTCCAGAGGAATGAAGGCCCTCACTTCTGAGCTGGCCTCGGTTGGAGCGTCTCGGCTCCCTGGTTGGGGTCCGAAAGACGATGAACGCGTTTGGCTGGGCACACTTGCTGATATGGCTAGGATCCGACCTCAATGGCTTTCGTGCTGTGAGTTGCTTTTCCCACTCCATCCCTCTTAGTCTCCCCCTCCAACCACGATCACATTATTTATCTTTATATACTTTTGCACAATAATTTTTTTGGGTGCACAGTAGCCGGCTGGTAGCTTACCGGAACGATGCCCATCCGTTACCAGTTGCTCAGCCAGCTTACACCAGTTGCTTTCTTTTCTACGTATTGCGGCACAGTAGCTGAGGTGTTCCCCACCTCTAGCTAACGTGTCTAATGATGATGATGATGACGCTGATTCCCCCTTCCTCACAATTCGACGAGACGAAGTAGCCATCATCATTTGAGCGTTTGCTACTGGCTCATCGAACTACTGCATCCTTATTCAGTCAATTGCATCTACAGTATAATCGGATTTCTCCACAAAGAAATCACTCGAGATAGTTCACGTATCGATCAAATCGCATCAAGCACGCTTGTGTACGTGGTTTCACACTAGATACCATTTTACTAATGTGCGAACTATCTTAATTCCATTGCAGAAGGATTTGACTGCAATTGATTAGGAGATTTTAGCCCGTCTACATACAATATATCGTATGTATCGGTTTGCTAATCACAGCGGTCTCCTTTAGACAATGCACCCCGTACGTAATTTCCGTCCACCGTACCTATTTCGGTTCTCACTTGGTCGTCATACGGGTTGGTCGATAATTACAAACATCCAATCGCTCTTTCGTAATACTTGCCGCTAGTAGTCCCTATTGTACCTTGGTGGTGGCAATGCGCTCACTGTGGTATACATTGTCCTCAATCTGAATGGGCGTTACTCCAACTGATCCAATTGGAACGCGTTCCCAAGGTCAGGCCAGTTCACACACTTGGACTGCTTTCGATGGCTTGGGCAACAGTTGGCCGTATACAAGCTTCTATGAGAATATGAGACGACTTTATAAAAGCGCTGTGATCCAGGCAAATGGGTAGTTCAGCTCGTAAACAGTTGGCTGATCGATAGTTCTACCGTTATGCTCACTGTGTGCACAAGATGGTGTCGAAACAGAGGCACCACAGTTCGCTCTATTTGATCAGACAAAGGACTGTGCACACACACACACACACACACACACACGCACGCACACCACTAGCCTCGGTATCCTGTAGATTGCCAATCCCCTCGTCCGTCGAATTTCGGTCCTACGCACTCTTGTGCGGCACAATCGAACTCAAAAATGCTCTCTATCACATGAATCACCCACATCCACATCGCGTGAGAACGATGTGTCGAGTATGCATGACTAAGCGTTGCGGCTCTCCACACAACACGTCTGATGTGTGTGGTATCGTGTCGACGATGTACGGGTACGGGGTGGAATTTTCTTACCCCCACCATTAGGCAAGGCGCCATCAGCACATCACAGTGATGCGTGGGGCTTGAGTACATCGCTAAGTTGTGCGGAATTTCAGTAACGCACACTACATCCCAACCTAGTGGTTACCGCTCAGCGGATGCCACCAGTGTTCGCTGGCTTGTAAAACCTGGTGTTACCTTTTTGCTTGTTCCAACGGCTCAGAATAGGAGGCACGAGATGGGTTTGACCACCTTGGGGTACAAACTGGAGACTGGGGTGTAGGGAGCTCACCTCACTCAGGTCCTCGTAAACGTGCACCCCGATAAACTATCTAACGGGAGTAAACCACTGAATGGGTTACAACAATCAATGCGGCCGGTGTATCATTATTCTGTTTGCTGTGCATTTTGAGATTTGCTCCTCAGATGGTTATTCCTTTTTTTCGTGTACTGCGAGATCATTTCACTTTGGGCCTCGCACCATTTCGCGCTGACAGATAAGATGGAATCCACTTCCGGATCTATAGTAGAGTCGTGCTTCGTGTGATATGCGGCGAGATAAACGCTTTACTGGTTCGATGAGTGTTCTCAACGGTATGCTGCAGCACCCTAATTAATCCGCTATTGGTTTCATCTAGCAGATAAGTTGCCACTGATTCGCATCTGTGTGTTATGCTTACAACTATCGATTAAGACTGTCTTCAATCTCCCTTTTGGCATTTGCTATGTATGGCAGCTTAATATGAACATACGGTGGGATCTCGAGCCAAGTGGGTCGCGAATACAGATCGTTTGCATAGACGCTTTCGAAATGACAGTCCAAAGAAGAAAGATATCCTGTTGGCATTGGTGACGTTAGATATACTTCGTTAATCTCAACTGCTGACCTGCCTGTTCCCACTTGTCGTTGGGTTTCAGTGGCTAGCAGCATACATGACGAGGGCCGATCGGGAGCCGGCTCACTATTTTTTGGTTGCCGTATGGTCACGGATGCAACCTCAACCAGAATCACAATTTCTGCCTTTACTGAAGTGGGTAGTAACGCAACTTCCCTGGGAACTGTTCTCCTGCGTTGTATAGTTTCCGTTATAGAGGAGTCATTCCTTTACCACCATTGTCACATCTCGTTTTCACAGTCGCTCATGCAACGCACAGCTGGATATTAAGAGCCCATTTGCGAACACGGATCATTGATCACGGTCCCCCGTAGAGCATCGTTTGTGTCCGATAGCACTAGTGCGTCCACTGCGATAAGATATGCAGCGGAATTTATTTGGAGATGATCAGGCGACCTCATGAAATCAACAAATACGGCTGAATAAGTCGCATTGGTTTGGTCAGCTCACAAAGGAAGATATTGTTTGCGTGAGGTGTAGGGTGGCAATTGCTAATGAGGTAGTGAAAGTGGACGCCGCTAGTCACTGTTTCATCCCTGCCTGGTGTCCAGGTGATTGGCTCACAGGTTTACAGGGCAGTGGTTGCACCCGACACTAGTGGAGCGAGTGTTGTCGTGTGGACACCTTGTTCATGACCATCTAGGTTCTACACTTGATCCTCCCTAACTAGTAGGGCCATTATTGTTGTACGGTAGTTAGGCATCGGTACAAATTACCTCCAACTGCTGTTGTTGTTCTTGATGATGATGATGATAACTGCTCGGTAACAGGTGTCAATCCCATCTCATATTCATTCCACTCGCTTTGTTCCAATCCGCCGATTGGTGAGTAGCAGCATTTACTCACTATTGGGGTGGGACGGACTAATGTGTCTGCGTGCTCAGAAAAGTGTTTTGTTCAGCTATTCGGTGTGCTTGCAGCACTCGGTCCGGGAACTATGTTTTGTGCAGGAGTGAAGATTGCTTGAGACCATCAACATTAACAAACAACTTGAGTGGCCGATAATGT